TTTTTTTTTTAAAGATTTTATTTATTCATTTGACAGAGATAGGCACAGCGAGAGAGGGAACACAAGCAGGGGGAGTGGGAGAGGGAGAAGCAGGCCTCCCGCAGAGCGAGGAGCCCGATGCGGGGCTCGATCCCAGGACCCTGAGATCATGACCCGAGCTGAAGGCTCGATCTCAGGACCCTGAGATCATGCTTAACAACTGAGCCACCCAGGCGCCCCTCAATATTTATCTTGATAGCTTACGCTACCCTCCCCTCTTTTTTCCTAAAATAAGCAGTTAATCACTTTTCCCAATGGTAAAGCCAGACCACATTATTAAAGCTAAATAATGGGAAGTCACACTTATCCATTTACCACAATTCTGATTATAAATAAATTACCTTTGAGATATTTCTTCCTCTTAAGTATAGTGACTAAGCAGAAGGGGACGTGATTGGAACCACTGAAGAACTTTGGGTCCCCTAATCGCCGATGGTTCAGTTCCTCCAGTTGGACCCCTTCCTGCAGAAATCAAAGAGCGATGCCCCAGGCACAGACCTGGGCTTCTCCCCCAAGGCTGGCCCCGCTGGAGCACTCAGGGCCACTTCCCAGCGGCTTCCACCCGGGCAGCACTGTCTTACCCCAGAGAAGGAGCCACAGTTATGGGAGGAGGTCGTGGTTAAAGTTGCAGCCACAGCGGCTCTGAGGAACGCAGGGCAAGTCAGTGGGTGGCAAAGGAGGCAGGACATGCTCCCAACGTGATGCCCCTCATTCTAATTGTCCAGTGTCCGTGGGGCAAAGCGCAGGGAGAGAGCATGTGCTCCTAGCCCAGGAGACCCATCTTTTAGTGTCATCCCCAGATGTTACTGGAATATGCAAGCAGATAATTGGGTATTGGGGAAGCGTGAGTTCCTCTCTCTGGACCTTGAGAGAAATGGCCCAGTTCCTCGTGCTCCCATGGGAGAGATTCAACAATAGCACCCTTTTTATTCATCCATTCAGATGAAAAGGATTCTGGAGGGAATGAACAAGCACAGACAGAATTTGCAGTATTGACGCTTTCTGATGGCGAAAATCGTATGCAGTTTGGATCTCGTTGCACCTAGTTTAGTAACTCTGATTTCTTACTCACCGTGGTCGTTTTCACGTGCGAGACGTGTTACTGGCACCTAGACGGACTCCAGGCTCGTGGGTGGCACTCCGCAGCCAGACTGTATACGTGTATCATCGTCTTTTACACCCACCAGTGGTTCTAACCCTCAGGGGCCACGAGGCAGCACATAGAGATATGTTTGCTTGACACGATTTGGGGAGGCGTCCTACTCTTCTACAGCATCTAGTGGGTAGAGGCCAGGAGTACTGCTAAACATCTTACCATGGACATGACCGCTCTCCCCTGAAGAGTTACCCTGCCCGAATTTCAACAGTGAGGAGGTTCACAGCCCTGCTTTATACTGGTAGAAACTTGTTTCACCTGACTGTTCAACGGATTCATAGTTTTTCATTTTACAGTATACTCTAATTTAGCCAATCCTCTTAACCATTTGTACTTTTTCTCCTTTAAATACACTGTCATTACTGGGGCACCTGGCGCTCAGTTGGTTAAGCGTCTGCCTTTGGCTCAGGTCATG